GATTCTAATACACAGCATCAACCATGTCTCAGGTAACCTCTAAGTGGATGTGCTAAACTACAGAACCAAGTGAGTAGCTCATGGGAGCAGCTACTATAATTTTGGCATAGGAAACCTTGCCCTCCATAGCTAAGTCAGCACAGAAGTCATGAGTTAAAGTGGAGCTAGTGGAGGCTGCAATGAGAATTGGAGCATGGAGACACAACATATGATTCACCAAGGCAAGCAGTGAAGGCAGGATGGTCAATGCCAACCCAAATTAGTGGCATCGTCCACTGCCAGGTTAAGAGGTTAATAGACAGACCAATTATTCATTATCTGCCATAAACTGTATTCTAATATTCTTTCTCTCATTAGAACACACTGTAGGACCTTGGACTGAGGGATGTGAAAGTAGACGTGACTACATGCAAGCCATCTTTACTTTAATCCATTCATTTGCAAGTTAGTCAGATCCTGGTGAATAAATGACTCCTGACCAGCAATAGAATCATAGAATCATAGAATATCAGGGTTGGAAGGGACCTCAGCAGGTCATCTAGTCCAACCCCCTGCTCAAAGCAGGACCAATCCCCAGACAGATTTTTACCCCAGTTCTCTAAATACTTAAGGGCTTTGAGCAGTGAAGGTGTCAAAAGGCACATTTCCATTTTAATACCAGTTCTTCATTTCAGATGTTATATTAGGTTTTAGCTGTTGTCATTGTCTTTTTGCAGAAAAAAATCAGTTAATCTAAAAAGACTTTTTTTAAAATATTCATGCAAAGAAAATAAAGCTTGAGGTATAAACAAGATACACAGTGGAAAAAACGATAATGGTATGTAGCACTGATCAAACTAAGATCTTTAATAAGTGCTACACAGCCAGAAGTTCTGAATTCAATTAAATTCAACTCTGTACCTATTTAAGATGGTGAAACTCTTCTTTCTTGTTATGCAGCAACTGTTTCTTTGCTATGTTGCTTACATTTAATAAACCCTCCAAACTTTCTTTCATCTGGTTACATTGTACATGCACCTCAGTTTGCTTTAAGAAGGCCATTTAACCTCTTCTCAAACACTCCAAAAGTACTCAATTGTATATAGATACATCATCATCTGCTTTGATAGGGCTTGGTGTATACTCCTTCAGTGATAAAATTCCAGCTGACTTGCAGGAAAGGAGCAGTCTTATGCTTCATTCTGCAATCAGCCAGGGCAAGGGATAATGTAAATCAGTTATGAGACATTGAATCATCCTCTGATATGGCCCAAACGTTTTTTGAGAAAATTAATGTATGAAGTGTGCACCCCAAGGCTCTCGCTTACTGGGGACCCATCAAACAAAAGGATCTGTTTATTTCTGTGAGATGCTAAAATGAATTTCTAAGACTGTCCTCCTAAATCTGGGGCGGGCAAACTTTTTGGCCTGAGGGCTGCATCGGGTTTCCAAAATGTATATAGAGGGCCAGTTAGGGGAGGCTGTGCCTCCCCAAACAGCCAGGCATGGCCCAGCCCCCGCCCCCTATCCGACCCCTCCTGCTTCTCGTCCCCTGACGGCCCCCTGGGACTCCTACCCCATCCAACCCACCCTGTTCCCTGCCCCTGCCTGCTCCCTGCCACCCCATCCAACCTCTGCTCTCATTCCTGATGCCCCCCCCCCCGGGACCCCTGCCCCATCCAACCACCCCTTCTCCCTGTCCCGATTGCCCCCGGAACCCCTGCCCCTGACTGCCCCCTGCCGCCCCATCCAAATTCCCCCCTCCTTCCTGACTGCTCCCTGGGAAGCCCTGCACCTATTCAACGCCCCTGTTCTCCTCCCTCTGACCGCCCCGATCCCTATCCACACTCCCGCCCCCTGACCACCACCCTGAACTCCCCTGTCCTCTATCCAACCCCCCCTGCTCCCTTACCACACTGCCTGGAGCACCGGTGGCTGGCGGCGCTACAGCTGCGCTGCCCAGAGACCAGGACAAGCAGCCGTGCCATCCGGCTGGAGCCAGCCCAGAGCACCGGGTCAGGCCACGGCTCTGCAGCTGCGCTGCCCCAGGAGCTTGCAGCCCCGGCTCCCAGAGCATTGCGCTCGCAGCAGGGCGAGCTGAGGCTGTGGGGGAGGGGGAACAGCAGGGGAGGGGCTAGCCTCCCGGTGCAGGAGCTCAGGGCCGGGCCGGAGGGTCCCACGGGCCGGATGTGGCCTGCAGGCCATAGTTTGCCCACCTCTGTCCTAAATACATGAGCTACTTATGCAATCTATACACCTTATCCACCAGGACAATCTTTACAACATGATACCATCAGTGACATGTGCAATCTCAAAGCTGCGACTTAAACTGTGGGTCTCTTGACCAATGATTTCTCACTAATTACCAGAAATGCCTCTTCCCATAAGAGATGTGCTTTATTATTTGTTCTGACTAATGTCACTATAAGATAGATCTTTATGATGAGGGAAGATTCATGATTCAGGAGACATTTACATTTCCCTTTTCTGTTCAGGAAACTGTAAGAGGTTAAATGTACAATGTAGCATGAGCTCATCAAATAAAAATGGAATGGTAAAACTGCTCCCCAAGATGTATTTGTATATGCATGTACATTGTTACAGAACAGAAAAATCCAGAAATGAGGGAAGGAAAAGTACTTTCGTTCATACCTTCCTCTCCCATGGGCAATTATTTTGGCATAAAAAGCATCATCAGGTGTGATCAGCTGTAAAAAGGCATGGGTTACTAATGTGGCATTGCTATGGGAGAGGAAGGACTTCATGCAGAGAACATGATGCTTGCTCTGTTATGCAGGTTGACCACTAGCTAAGACTGGTATATTGGCAGACATGCCATTATCCTAACAGATGGTCATGAGTAGGGGAAGCCAAAATATTATAATCAGGAATCCTACTGTCAAGTATATTTTAGGCTCTATCTAGGAACAGCTGCCTGTCCCTTGTGAGCAGCCATATTAATGGCTAATGTGACACACCATTATTACTCCAGCCGAGAGCTGGATTAACTTTAAAAATCAGATAATTTTGGATTAGACTGCACAGCACTAAAAGGAATAATAATAAAATCTCCATTCTTTGTTGAAGGCGCTATGAAACTCACTACAACCAAGTTCTGCGGGATAGTTCAATTTCCTCTGAATAGATTACAAAATTTAAGTAGTACACAATGCTCGGTTTGGCCAAAGGCCACGTAACAGCCCTTCGAAACACATTCTTTTATGCCTTCAGGTAGACTTTTCAGGAAGGTAAAACTGCCTAAACTGGAAGGGACAAATACTACTCCAAAATACTAGCAAAGACAGTTATTAAGGCCTTGATTCAATAAGGTATTTAAGCTTGCGAATACCTGTAAGCATGTGAGTACTCCCACTGAAGTCTATGAGATCGTTCATGTGCTTAACCCTACACTAGCGCCCAGAACCTTACCGGATCAGGGCCTAAACACCTAAAGTGTTCCTCATTTGGGACCTAATTCAAATCCCAATAATGTCAATGTCTTTCTAGTGACTTCAATAGGCTTTGGTTCAGGTCCTCGGTGAATCACCTTTCTTTTTAATTTGTAATACATTGAATGCCCATGAAAGTTTCCAGCTGAGGGCTATGTGCTAGTTTTTAAATAAACACATTCTGAGCCTTAAGAATCATGATTAACCTGGAGTTTATATGCATAAAAAAGGCTGTTTCCGCAGCTTTGTGAATTCTGGTCACCATAACTTCTTGATATGCTACATCATTTTTCCTCTTCTACTTTTTACATAAGTTGTGGAGCATACAAATAATGAAGGAAGCCATAAAAAGCCCATACAACAGCTGTAAATGTTACACAATAGTAAATTCAAATAGAAGAATCCATGTTTGTGTTTTTGTTCCAACAACTCTCTAATGAAGGACATTCACCAACAATGCCTGCAAAGTGATTCTGAAAGAGAAGAGATCAGGAAAGAACTGCATATACCCCTAATTTGTGTGCGCAGTTCTTAAACAGGATGGTAAATCCAACTCTGATCTCCCTTTCAATCTATGGAGCCCAATCACTTTTAAATAACCAAGACGACTCATTTCCCTATCTTCCCTGTTGACAGCAACATTTACAGTCCCTCTGCATGCATCTTCCTTTATGTTGACTATTAGCTTGTCAGAACAAATGTTCAATTACAATTACTACTGATCTTCATACAATTTAATCAACAATCAAACTTCAGGAAAAATATATGAAGCCTTAATAACCTTGGGTTTTTTCCCTCCAAAACTATTTCAGGATTTTGCTGAATCTATATTTACTTTCAAAATTAAAGTATTATCTAGTGACCTAAAAAATCTGTATACAGTATTTAAATCCATATAAAAAGATTTGTCTATAATTTATAGTGAAAGCTACATACAAAAACGTTCTGTATACTTAGATTATAGGCTATAAACCAGACTTAATCTCCTTAAAAGTAGGCACTTAAAATACCCCGTGTTTTGGTCAAAAGTAGTTACAGTAGTCAAATTTTGGCTACTGAAAGACTTTAATAAAATTCTTGTTTGCAATACACCTATCAGATCCTAAATACTGCTATGCTGAACAAGTTATCTGGGATTCCTATTTTGGAATGGAAGTCAATAAGTAGCTTCCGTCTTTCTTGTTCTTCCTTATCTGCACTACTTCAAGGAAAGATATGATACAGGTTTGTAGACAACAATTGGAATTTTCCTCCCAGAATAGACCCCAACTGCTGTATCTCATGCTCTGAAGAGGAAGCTTATTAACCATTTTTATCATACATTGCTTTAAATGGAAAAATAATATTCCAGTTCACTTTAACAGGTTGCTAAAGAAAGCCAGCAGAATTTTGGATGATGCTAACCACTGTTGAGTAGGCCCTAAGTCCTAGTAGCTGTTTCTTTTATTGTGCTTTAGTTTATTTGTGAATTACAGTGATCTGGGATGGACTATACTTTTCTTCATCCTTTAGAAGTCATCCTGAGCCACAGCAACTATCTTCCGTTACACTAACACCAGGCAGCATATGTGGATGTAGGCCCCACCCTTTTTGCTCCTGAGCCAACAATATCTGTCCATAATGTGCTGGCTGATTCAACAGGCACTTTATGTCTCTTTAAAGCCCATTAATTATTTCCCTGAATATCCAGGGTAAGGAGGAGGAGGCGGATACTGTACTGAAGTCTGTGGAGTTGGAGTGTAAGGTGGAGGTAGGTCTGCTGCGTATTCCATCTCATATTCATAACTATAAGGTGGAGGAGCCACTGAAAGTGAAAGAGAAGCAGAATTAGTTTGAAAAGTATAATTTAACCATATCAATATTATTTAGGTGGGGAAGGTTTCCAGTAGCAAATAGCTCTACGCATTGTGGGACAAAGCCTGAGGTCTTCTCTGAGGTTCCCAGCCAATGGGAGCTGGGGGGGTGGTGCCTGTGGGTGAGAGACGTGCGGAGCTGCTTGCACGCCTCCGCCTAGGAGCCGGACCTGCTGCTGATTGTTTCCAGGATGCTGATGGGGAGCCACCCTAAGTACGCCCCAATCCCCTGCCCCGGCCCTGAGTGCCCCCAAATCCAGAGTCCCTTCCTGCACCCCAAACTCCTTATCCCTAGCCCCACCCCAGAGCCTGCACCCCCAGCCCAGAGCCCTGACCCTCTCCTGCACCCCAACCCCCTGCCCCAGCCCTGAGCCCCCCCAAACCCAAAGCCCCCTCCTGCATCCCAATCCCCTCATCCCCAGCCCCACCCCAGAGCCCTGACCCCCTCCCGCACCGAAACTCCCTGCCCCAGCCTAGAAGTCCCTCCCATACCCCTCATCCCCAACTCTGTTGGGTCGCGGGCATCAACAATTTTCTTCAACTGGGTTGCCAGAAAAAAAGTTTGAAAACTACTGCCCTAGTGTGTGGTTCTTCACAGCCCCATGTCTCATCATGGAGATGTCCCACTTCCCCAACTTGAGGCTACATTGATAAGAGGTTGGACTGCCTGATGATAGTGAGAGGATGTGAACCCAGGCTGTGTGCACTGCAGAGGAAAATCAGATCCTAGTGCAAAGGAGAGATAATGGCACTTCCCCAAAATCTACTCAGAGCTGAAGTTGAGGCAGAAGGAAAAGATTTCCATAGCTTGCCACCTATCTCAAAGACAGCTCCTAGCTAGGGTGGGAGAAATAGTTTTTCAGAGTCTGCGCCATCCTCCAAAAACTGCTTCTGCTGAAGCACAGAGCCTCCCCCTGGAAGGATATTCATACCAGGGACAGGGAAAATGGAGAACTAAAATGTCTCCTGCTGGAGATGAATGGATAAGGATGAAACACAGTGAGAAAAGATGTCTAGAGACCTCCATTTTGTTTTTGCATACTAACTTTGCTCTTTAGCAATTCATGATTGAGAATCGTAATGAGTACTATAGTACTCTTTATTACTCAACTCTCTATGTTATGCAAGCAATGTTTCTATAATGAGGATGATTATAGCTAAGTTTCGTGCAGCTGGAAAGTATGGGAGTGAGGGGGAAAGATAGATACATTGAGTATATGACACTGCAATATGGACACATGCACAAATACTAACTACGTAGTGAAACGGGGAGATTGTCAGGCAAAAATAGTATAGTCTGGAGTGGCATTATCTTTGCTGCTGAACCCAAGTATGGTACAGAATCCCATTTCTAAGGCAAGGGGAATTCCTGTAGTGCAGCATGACTGATTTTATTGTTCGTAAAATATATAAACACAAAACCCTTATTAGGGTAATTTCAATAAAGTTGCCAAAATTAGAGCATAAAATAAGATACTAGCCCAGGTCATATAACTGATATTTTTTTTTTAGGCTGTAAGCTCTTTGGTGCAGGGATTGCCTCTTAGCATGTGAATACAAACATTTAATAATATTTAAAAAGCGTTTGTTCATTTTCCACAGACAGCTCTTCGCATTAAGAACTTAATCCTGCAAAGTGTTAAGAGCCCTCTACTCCCACCCCTGGAATTTGCAGGAGGCACATAAGATGTTCCAGGAATGGGCCCTTCAATGTACTTTATGTGATTCTACTGTTTCCATGCCAGAAGGAGTATTTTTATCTTTAAAAGATTTTGTTTACAGGACTTGGCCAATCTCCTACTTACACATCAGCTTTTTTTTTTTATTTTGACCTATCCTTTAATTATAAACCAAAGCAATTTCATTAATTTGATATCTGGAAAATCAACTGCATGGTACTTTCACATTCTCCTGAGTCAATATAACAAGATCTCCCTCTCTCTGTCTCTGTCATGGCTTCTTGTGCTGTTTTTCAGCCTTATTGTATCACAGGTATCCATTTCTGATATTGGAACATAACCACCAACCCCGTTTATAGGGGTATCAAATGCCCTGGCTTCACTTTGACATGAAACCAACATGATAGACAACTGATTGCCTTGCATGCCCTGCCATCATGATCATTATTCCTTAAGTAACACAAAGCCATTAAGAAAGGGCTGGATGGTGGAAAACTAGAATATATTTAGTTTAGTAGCATTTGTATTTTCCATAGCAAACCATGCACAGTATTTTAGGGATTGACTACGTAGCCTGTAACTTGGAAATGAAGTGTATATTTTAATATTAATGTTCATGTGTTTGAAATAAAATTTATTATTCTTTACTAAGCATTCAAAAGAGTTCTAGGTGCTTCAGAGAAGCAAGAGGAGACACAATTTCTGCTCCAAGGAGCCTACAAGAGAAGGTCTGGGGAATGAACTTTGTGCGGTGTATGGCTCAGCAAAACGTTCAGAGGGGGATGTGGATCAGCAAAATATGCCCTCTGATATGACCCGGGT